GTTGAGCAAACACCTAGAAAACCTCCTAAGGCTCAACATAAGAAAGTTAAAAATCAGGATAATAGAAAACCTAGTCAACCTAGGGACACTAGACAACCTAGACAAAAACCTAGGAATGAAAATGCGCATGATAGACAACCTAGGAAAAATTATCAACATGATTCTATGCATAAAAATAATTTTTCAAATAGACAAAATAATTCTAGAACACCTAGAAGGGAAAATTTTCAAAAACCAAGGTTTTCTCAAAACAGGATGAATATGGTTAGGCCCCCTAACAATTACTATCAACCTAGGAGAATGCATAACCCAAACGTAGTTTGTCACTATTGCAATAGGGTAGGACATATAGCTCCCGTTTGCTTTACTAGGCATAGGCATTGGGCACAAAATGAATCACACTACCACTTTGCACCTAACACTCAAGGACCCAAAAAGACTTGGGTACCTAAATCTTATTAAATAATCTTTGTAGGTATGCTTGAAGGCGTCAAGTGTACTTTGGTACCTTGATAGCGGATGTTCCAAGCTCATGACCGGAGATGCATCCAAGTTCCTACAAATCAAACCCGCTAAAGGAGGAAACGTAGTCTTTGGAGACAATAGCAAAGGAAAAATAATTGGGGTCGGCTCAGTAGGTAAGTCCGAAGACTCGTCTATAGATAACGTCTTGCTTGTTAAAGATCTTAAACACAATCTCTTGAGCATAAGTCAATTATGTGACAAGGGAAACCGTGTGACGTTCGATTCAAAATCATGCACTGTAGAACGCCTTAGTGACAATAAGGTCATTCTACGTGGTGATAGAATCGATAACATTTATATGGTCAACTTAGACAAATCTCCTTCCGGCTTTGCTAAGTGCCTCATGAGTAAAGAGGAAGATACTTGGCTATGGCACCGAAGGGTAGCTCATATAAACATGAACCTTTTGAACAAATTGGTTTCACAAGACTTAGTAATTGGCATCCCAAAACTTAAGTTTGAAAAAGACACCATATGTGATGCATGTCAAAAGGAGAAGCAAGTTCGGGCTTCGTTTAAGTCTAAAAACGTTGTTTCAACGTCTAGACCGCTTCAACTTTTGCACATGGATCTCTTTGGTCCTTCTAGAACGAAAAGTTTTGGTGGCAATTACTTTGCGTTTGTGATTGTCGATGACTACTCTAGGTTTACATGGACCTTGTTTCTAACTCATAAAAGTGAGGCATTTCATGTTTTCAAAAATTTCTTAAAGAAAGTTCAAAATGAAAAAGA